TTGGGAAGTGGCATCAACCCACCCGTTCATCCAAAGCTGGAAGATTGTATAATGTCCCCAGCTTCTTCCATATCCCTGGTATCCGTGTGTGTTCTGCGTGCGCGGGCGCATATCCTTGGCTTTTCATGAACTCCGAAATCGCGATCATGCGGAAGTGCTTGTGCATGCCTTGAAAGAGAAACCTCATTAGCGACACACTGTTCGGAATAGTGCTTGCCCTTGCGCCCGACAGAGGGGAAAGATTGCTGACATACCGACAGGCTTCCACTTTATAATCCCCTTCAATAACGCGGTCTCTTGCTCGTCCGTCCAGGGATCTGTCACTGGGTCGTAATCCGCGGTTGTTGGCTGGTCAGCGGTGCTTGCGGACGGCTCGGCATTCTCATTTTGGGGGCTGAGTTTGGCTTTCTTGCGCGGGGGCATAGCGATTGAATAGTATGTAATGAGAGAGCTTGTGTGTATTCTGTAGAGGTGGGTAGGTAAATAATGGTTTGCTGAAGGGACGGAGGGGAGAGCTCTCGTCCGCGGGTTGGTTGGACCGCGGCGAATTCCTGCCGCTTCGGTTTCCCGAACAAGCGGTGGTCCGGGCGTTGGACGGGGAGAGGAGCTAGTCTGGTTTGGGTTTAGTGAGGCGTGATCTCGCGCTGTCAACGCGTCCTCTGGTGCTTGTCATTTGGGATTCCCATGAGACTTTGGTGGGCTGTGTTCAGTTGAGGACGATGAATCTGGGAGACTCCACTGCTGGCCCGCTGTTTGGTCATGGCCTACAGAGTTTTGGCCAGGTCGTCTTGCGGTTCCTGCATCCATTGAAGCTGTTGACGTGGGAGAAGTTGTCTGATGCATACTAAATACTCAGTTACTAACTACATGCTGAAAGACGTCATTGATGGCTCTGGATTGCGAACTGTTTCAGGTGTCCTTTGGAAAGCAATTGACAGATACGGCGCCGAAGTCTCCCGGGATGCCGCAGCTCGGTGACAAGGCGAAATTTCTCAATATGATCTTCGAAGGATACACATCATGGTATACTATACCCCACGTGGCTTTACCTGAAGTATCGTCGGATGCACAGTATAAGATACTGGCAATGGTGCAATTCCATTGAGCCTATTGTCGCTTTCCTTTGTAGAGCGGGCCGGTTGTCTTTCCATACTTGACCGATATGAGTGAACGAATGATATGATTCTGACCCTGGTAAAGAATCCTATATTCGACTCGCGCATATTGCAGGCGCACATCAAGACCAACTTAATCCTTTCACTTGAAGCACATTACAGTTCGTATATATTTCTTTCGAACTTAGCGTCATTATATACAATCTAACATCGTGGCCTCCTAATACTAGTGACGAAGGCTATTTCCAGAACTGAGGAGGCGCTCCCCTTAGAAGAAATGGAGGTCCGACTCCGCCCATCCTTGCTCCAGTAGGATCTTGCGGGCAGACTTTTCCATGGCCTCTGGACCACAGATAAGCACCATGCTCTTGCCATCGGGAATGGCATACTCCTTCAGCAGGTCTTCCGATATACGTCCACGACGTCCAGTCCAACTGTCCGGAGCCTTGGTTAATGTGTGTACCACCTTGCACTTCTTGCTATCCAACGCTTCATAGGCGTCCAGTTCATCACGACAGAGAATGTCCTCTTCCTGTCTATTGCCATCTAGGACCACGCACGAAGTAGGGTCCTGCTTGTCCTGTATCACTGCACGTAGCACTTGGAAGATAGGCGTGATACCAGTTCCTCCACAGATCATCTTGAACGAATTAACATGGCGCTCTTTGCCGCTCACTATGATCTTGCCGTTTCCAAGATACTCGAACCTGCCAGTGGGACCCTTGCAGTCGATTTCTGATCCCAACGCGAGCTTCTCTAAAGCCATGGTCATCTTGCCACCTTTGACCGTGGGCGTGTCGAAGTAGATCTTGACCAGCAGGTCCATGGTGCCTTCCTGGTTAGTATCGGAGATAGGGGTGTATGAGCGGATAATGGCCTCTTTGCTGGTGGGGTCGGCGACCTTGATCATGAGATGCTGGCCAATGGGCAGGCCCAGGGTCTGTTTGTCATGTTGAAGCTGGAAAGTGAAAATGCGGGTGTCCCATGACACGTCCTTCCTCTGTACAAGGGTCATCTTTGACCATGATTTCGACTGGAGGAATGTTGCGCGAGGTTCATCCGATTCTGGTGCGCTATCGTTCTTGAGCGCTTCCAACGACGCCTTATCCATGGTTCCGATATGGTAATCAGGCATCATGGCTTTGGCCGTTTCGCTGTCTGTGAGTGTGTCAGTATTCTAAACTCCATTCAAAAAAGGTCCTTAGACATACGGATGGCCAAAAATTCCTCCGAAACGTCGATGCCAGCAGACGAAATGATACTCTGAGCTCCACCAGGATGGCCCTCAAGGAATGCCGTGCCATCGTACACTTCTCCGTTCACGATGAACCAGGGCTTCTCATCGCTCGAGTTCTTCTTGAATTCTTCAAGGTCGATCATCCGGTTCACGCCGTCTTTCTTCATGTTGATCTCCTTCTCGGGCTCTGGCTCTGCCGGTTCCTCTCCTGCGTGTCTTTCTCCCCAGTTACCGTTGACCAGATCACCACCGGCCTTTTTGACGCGTTCCATCCATCCACCAGGCCCGGTAGGATCTGTTGGGTGCTCGAACCTGAGAGTCCCGTTCTCCTTTGTGATGGTGACCCGAAACCAAGGATTGTTCATCATGCCCAGAACAGACCAGTACATATCCCGCGGTTGGAGAGACAAAGCCTCATCCATAGCCCGCACAAGAATGGCATCTGTATTTTCTAGCTCAGGAATGGCGATATCCAGCGACCAGAAGCTCCAGCAGAAACAAGTCTCGCGCCAGGACATGTCTACTCTGCCACCAAACAGGTCCCCTTCGAAGTCACGATACTTGTCTTCGGCATATGAAATGTTGGCCAATCGCCAGGCTAAAATAATGTCAGCTCTGCTTCAACACATTTGCGCGATGATCATCGTACATTTGCCTTTATCTAAAGATATTTCGACTCTCGTAATCCTCCGACCGCCTCCTGCATAGGCATATCCTTTCACGTTGTACGACGGGCCTGCCGACGCAAGATCCAGCACCTCCTTGTGCTCGGGGTATACTACAGAAGAGTTCACGTTCAAATCATAAATCGCATATCGGTCATCGCGCCACCAGTTTGGGTCACTGGATGACATTTCGGGCGAAACCATTGTCCTGGATAAAAGTTAGACAACGTACTCTTGTGGTCGGATAGGCGAGTCTTACGGTAATACTCGGTTGTCATAGATGTGGTACCAGTTATCACTGGGCGCATCAGTCAGAATGAGCTTCTTCAGCCATTTGACACTTCGGCCACCGATCTGGCCGGGTACGACGGCTCTCAGGGGACGGCCGTGATCAGGACGGAGATCCTCGCCGTTCATTTTGTGGGCCAGCATGATTCCCCTATTGGGATCCATGGCCCAATTGAGTTTGACTGAGGTGCCGTAATACCCGTTTGGCTGCAAGCAAACTGTCAGAACACTACATGCATGGATGGATATGGCGACTTACCAGCTTATCTGCTCCCTCCATGCAAACATACTTGGCTTTCCTCAGAGGCTTCGCACTCCGTAGGATATCCGCCATCATTGGGCCAGTCCAAAGGGCCGTCGACAGGCCAGCAGAACCCCATGAGAAACCTTTGGTCTTCCTGACCACATTCTGCTCCTTCCGTCTGTTTCCCGCACAGACGAGAGTGATTGGCGCTGTGATCTGATCGTATTTCTGCAAAATTTCCCGGAAGTTGAGGACAAGCGGCTTCTCCACCAGGCTGCATATCCCTTGTCAGATAACGACGCGACGTTTGGGGGAAATGATATTTTTTTACCCTTCAATGCTAATCTCCCAATTTGGGATGTCTTCGTCTTTCACCAAAGGTACCGGGCCATGATTTCTCACATAGAACAGTTCCGGGGAAGTCAAGAAGCCTAGTTTCTAGTGAGCATCGCCACGACTACAAGGGCCCTTGCGCGGAGTTCAAAGGGGATAGGGCAGCAGGGAAAGAGGTTGAGTACCTTCATCGTACAGAGCCGTTAGTGGAGGCTCAACATTAAAAGGATGAACACCCGTCAGTCTGATAAGGCGAGGGTCGCGGGGTACATGATAATCGGGAGTTGGCTTGTCTATATTGAGAACTTCGGTTGGTTCTTTTGAAGGGGGCGGCAGAGGAATGTCTGGAAGTTCCACGGCAGGCAGCTCCTCTTGGTGGACCTTGATCGGACCCGACTTGAGGGCGACCCCTTGAGCGGTGAAAGGCTCTGTCAGCACCTCAGTGACAGTGGCCATGATATGCGCTTATGTGGTTCAATAGCCTCGAGGTGCCAGATCAGACATGAGACGATATCGAGAATGGAGACGAGTATAGATTCGGACCGATACAGAGCATGCAGAAGGCAGATGAGAGGAGCCAGACACACATCCGGGGAAGACCAGGGTTAGCTACGGGAAAATTAATCGCTCAAAAACCAGATGACAGATGAACCCTCAAGACTGCCGGCTTTTGGATTAGCTCAACGGGGTGACCAGCAACGGCCGGGATCTGGTACTAAGTCCACGGAGAAGAAACAGGAGGCATTCCACCTGGTTTGAGATCTATTTGGGGGGCGAGAATGAGGGTCAACATTCGGCCGGAGAGATTTCCGCGGGAGCCGGTGGATTCGAACAATGACTTAACTAACGAGCAGAAATATGTAATAGTAATACTCCGTACTCTTCAGATGGTCTAGTCATGGCCTGGTGTGTCCTCCAGCCGGGAAGACAGGGAGAAACCGGGCTTCTCATTCGAACATTCCTACGGGGGGGTGTGGGCACTCGAGACCTGGTCCCGAAAAAAAAAAAAGTATAAAAAACCCAGACATGAAAAAATCCGGAAACAAGCCTCTCCCGAGCAGCCAAGAGACTCACTAAACTACGACTCGATACATACTAGTGACATTTTGTGCTGTAATGGAAAAACAAGCCCCAGGAGGACAGCGGCCAGATCCACTTGTCTAGAGGGCTCCACCGCCGATTAATTGCCCATTAATTGCAGCAGGATTACGAAGTCTCCAGCTGGCCGTGAACAAAGTATTGTTCTCGTGTATTCATGGTATCGGAGAATATTGAGTAAGTAATATTGCCTGGAACTGTTGAGCTTTTTGCCGCAGTGGAGACAGGCAGAAAAAAAAAAAAAAAGATGGAAAGCAATGGTCCCATCGGTCGACTAAGTAGTGGTCAGTGAGCAGACGTCTAGAAACAACTGGTAGTCAGTAGTGGTTAGTCAGTAGTACATAGTAACTACTACGTAGCATGCACCTGCTGCTGGAAACCAAACCATAGTCAACGCATCCCTCGAAATCCCTCACAATGAAATTGATGATTCCAGCAACTGCAAGGAGCTTCAATCAATCAATCAAACTCTGGTACGTATACTTCCGATCACGGCCAATCAGACGCTTATCAGGAACCGATAAGGCAGTCGCGATAAGCAACAGCCTCAATGCCTTCGTTTCTCCATCGCATCTCCGCGGAGTCGCACTCGCTCGCTCGATTCCATGCAGCCACTCCCCAATTACCGATCGAACCCATCGTATGCCCGGTTCTTATCCGTCCTTTCCCCTCTCCACGAACGGTGGCTCCTCTATGATCTGCATGGCGGGTCAAGAGGTCCCTGATTACAGAACGATCGAGCATGGACCCCCCCCCCTCGCAACTGATTACCTCAGAGGTCATAGTCACCCATCCAGTATCCCACGGAGAAACACAACTCAAACGCCCCTATGTCCGCAACTCCGCGCAGTTATCGGTCTCCTCTTGGCGAGATAGTTACAATGATGGTGGTTTGTTGTTCATGGCTGTGTAGCGCAGCTCTGGTGCCGCGGGGGTTCTCTTTTCCCTGTGGCACAAACAAAACCGCGCTGGTTTCCTGTTGGCCACTGCTATCGACGTAGGATTCCTTGATTATCCTCTGTCATCACAATGCCTCTGTTGGATGGATCAGGGAATGGTGACGCTGTCGTCATGGACAGCGTCCCCAGCGTTCTCCCTCCTCCAGTTGATTCCCTACCAGATCCGGCTACTCGCCGATCGGCTTCGACTAGGCGCCAGAAGATCGTGGTGGTCGGCTTGGGAATGGTGGCTATATCTTTCATGTATGTTTGGGCAGTCGAACAACTGTCTATTAACGCCGAAACTCGGGATGCTGACTACTCCTGTTTGTTCTTAGTGAGAAGCTCGTCAAGCAGGACTCAGAGCGACGAAAGTATGATATCGTTGTCATTGGTGAAGAACCACACATTGCCTACAATCGAGTCGGCCTCTCGTCTTTTTTTGAGCATCGCAAGATCGAAGATCTATACCTGAACCCAAGAGAATGGGTGAGTACTCCGTAATCTGCAGAGTTTCCGATCCGCGCTCGGGATGGCGGCCCTGGTCCAGACACTAACGCCGAAGCCGGTGCCCTAATTAGTACGGTTCCATCAAAGACCGATCCTTTGACTATCACCTCAACACTCGGGTAACCGACATCTTTCCCGACCGCAAGACGGTCAAAACCTCGACTGATGATATAATTCCTTACGATATCCTGATTTTGGCTACGGGTTCTGATGCCGTACTTCCCACGCGCACCCCGGGACACGATGCCAAGGGCATCTTTGTCTACCGGACGATCTCGGATCTGGAAAAGCTCATAGAGTTTGCATCGAAGCATAAAGGTGAGACGGGCGTTACTGTAGGCGGTGGTCTGCTGGGTCTAGAAGCAGCCAAAGCCATGACAGACCTGCAAGACTTTGGTAGTATCAAACTCGTCGATCGCAACAAGTGGGTGTTGGCGAGACAGCTGGATGGAGATGCTGGCACCCTTGTGACCCGCAAGATTCGAGAGCTAGGCTTGGATGTACTACACGAGAAGCGCGTTGCACGCATAAATACGGATGGCGATAACAACGTTACTGGAATTGTTTTCGAAGATGGTGAAGAACTCAGCTGCTCATGCATCTGCTTTGCCGTACGTTTCCTTTTGCCTTTGCCAGCTGCTTTTGACGTGCTAACTCCCAGGATAGATTGGAGTCAGGCCACGAGATGAGCTGGGCCAGTCCGCGGGAATCCAGTGTGCTGGAAGAGGAGGTTTCGTCATCGATGAAAGGTACAGTCAGTGCTTGTGCATTCATCAAATAAATATTGACACACTGCAACAGCCTCCAGACATCCATCGAAGACATTTATGCGATCGGAGAATGTGCAAGTTGGGAGAACCAAACCTTTGGTATCATCGCTCCCGGCATCGAGATGGCCGACGTGCTCGCATACAACCTCACCAACCCCGACAAGGAACCCAAAAGCTTCAAGCGACCCGATCTCAGTACCAAGCTAAAGCTGCTAGGTGTCGATGTGGCTAGCTTTGGTGACTTCTTCGCCGATCGGGATGGGCCCAAGTTCCTCCCCGGCCAACGGCCGTCAATGCCCTCCGGAAGTGCAGAAGATGAGCCAGCTGTAAAGGCGCTTACATACAAGGATCCTTTTGGCGGTGTCTACAAGAAATATCTCTTTACCATGGACGGCAAATACCTCCTGGGTGGTATGATGATCGGGGATACGAAGGACTACCTCAAGTTGAACCAGATGGTCAAGTCCCAAAAAGAGCTGGACGTACCTCCCAGCCAGTTCATTCTGGGGGCTCAGAGCGGTGGGGAGGAAAATGCCGATGATCTGTAAGTTACTGGAACCGCTCAGACGCCGAAGTAATAGGCTAATACCTTATGCGCCTATAGGGATGACAGCACTCAAATTTGTGCCTGCCATAATGTTACCAAAGGCGACTTGGTTTCGAACATTAAGAATGGCACCTGCAAAACCGTTGCGGAGGTCAAATCGTGCACTAAAGCGGGGACCGGCTGTGGCGGCTGTATGCCGCTAGTGCAGTCCATCTTCAACAAGGCCATGCTGGACATGGGACAAGAAGTCTCGAACAACTGTATGTACACACCTTTTTTATGGCTTTCGGAATTGTTTTAATGTGTATGCAGTATGTGCTCATATTCCACACTCGCGGGCCGACCTCTACAACATCATCGCCATCAAGCAACTGAAGACCTTCGAGGATGTCATGAGGACGGTCGGCAAGAACCCGGATTCGCTTGGCTGCGAGCTGTGTAAGCCTGCAATTGCCTCGATTCTCTCCAGTCTTTTCAACAGGCACATCATGGATAAGGATTTACACGAATTACAAGAAACAAACGATCGGTTCCTTGCCAACATCCAGCGGAACGGGACCTTCTCGGTTGTGCCTCGAGTACCCGGAGGGGAAATCACGGCGGACAAATTGATCACGATCGGGCAGGTCGCCAAGAAATACGACCTCTACTGCAAGATTACTGGAGGTCAGCGTATCGATTTGTTCGGAGCCAAGAAGCAGGATCTGCTCGACATCTGGACGGAATTGGTGGATGCAGGTATGGAGAGCGGACATGCGTATGCCAAGTCGCTTCGGACTATCAAGGTATGTAACTTCATGATGATTCGTTGGTTGGGCTGGTCTGGGAACATACTAACGCTTCTCAGAGCTGCGTGGGGACCACATGGTGCCGGTTCGGTATTGGCGACAGTGTTGGTATGGCCATCCGGCTAGAAGAGCGCTACAAGAGTATCCGCTCCCCGCACAAGCTAAAGGGCGCCGTCTCCGGCTGCGTGCGAGAATGCGCAGAGGCACAGAACAAAGAGTGAGTCTTTCCTTTCTGTCAGTTACTTCCTGGATGTTTAGCTAATCTGCTCCAGTTTCGGTCTTATTTCCACCGACAAGGGCTTCAACATCTTCGTTGGAGGCAACGGAGGTGCCAAACCTCGGCATTCCGAAATCCTCGCCAAAGATGTTCCTCCCGAGAAGGTCATCCCAATGATTGATCGGTATCTTATCTTCTACATTCGCACAGCAGACAAGCTGCAGCGGACAGCTCGCTGGATTGAAAACCTCCCGGGTGGTATTGAATATCTGCGCGAGGTAGTCGTGGAAGACAAACTGGGTATTGGGGCGGAGATGGAACAGCAGATGCAGGAACTGGTCGACAGTTATTTCTGCGAGTGGACCGAAACAGTCCGGAACCCCAAGCGGCGCAAATACTTCCAACAGTTTGCCAACACGGATGACACTGTCGACACCGTGGAGGTGATCAAGGAGCGCGACCAGCAGCGGCCGACCTATTGGCCCAGCGAACCAGCCAAAGAGGACTTCAAGGGCCACCAGTGGTCCAGTCTCTCGTGGCAGCCTATCATCAAGGCTGACTACTTTTCGGATGGCTCGCCACAGATGTCATCCGCCAATGTGAAGCGTGGGGATACGCAGTTGGCCATCTTCAAGGCCAAGGGCAAGTACTACGCGACGCAACAGATGTGCCCTCACAAGCGGGCGTTTGTCCTGTCAGACGGGCTGATCGGCGATGATGACGCCGGCAAGTACTGGGTGTCATGTCCCTACCACAAGCGCAACTTCGAGCTGAATGGAGAGCAAGCGGGTCGATGCTCGAACGACGAGAGCATGAACATCGCGACGTTCCCGATTGAGGAACGGGACGACGGGTGGATCTATCTGAAGCTGCCGCCTGTCGAGGAGCTGGACTCGATTCTGGGGACGGAGAAGTGGAAGGTGCGGAAGGGCGAGGCGCCCGATCCTTTCAAGAAGCACGACAAGAAGTATAAGGGGATGCGAGGGAAGAAGGCGGGCGAGAAGGCGTCCGGGTGCGGTACGGCTGCGTCATCCACGGTGATTGACTGGTAGTCAGATCGTCTGTGGCGAGGATGATGGTGATGACGATGATGATGTTACGATTTGAACTAGAGCTTCTTTGACTGGATAAGGATGTCCGTCTACAGCACACCATGTAATTTATTCTATGTATCTTCCAATACCAGTTCCACATTGTCTACTATTGGTATTACACCTAAGCCTTAGTGGTGGCCCAGGGAGCCCTCAGACGGCACACACGACTGGATAACTGGAACCCATCGTGGATATTGAGATGGTGCCATATCCTGCCCGATGCAGCTGCTGCCTATATTAACTGTGTGTAGACCATGCTCGGGGGAGCCATACATAAGTGAGCAGGTGCTAGTTCGGCCCCCAGGAGCTTACATTGGGGGCCCGGGGCAGCCGTTCGTAGCCGAGGAGCGTTCGTTGTATTTTGTGTTTGCCTTGCGTGCCTTGCATGACCAATTCCAGTATTTGCACCAAAAGCAGTCCGGCGTTCCAATTTAGGGCAGCGGCTGTCAACTTGTCCGGGCCCCCCTAATAGCAACACACTGATTGGCTGGAACGAATGACTTATCAAGGATCAGCCCACGAGGTGGCCCGTGCATGACATTGCTTTTCTTTTTACTTTTTTTTTTCTTCCCAACTGGGACAGCATTCTCATTGTTTGGGTCTCCTTATCAGCCAGTTTCAGCCTATCTGTTAGTGTTTGATACGAAATCGGATGCCGAGAGTTCCTATATCGGGAGTGAAGATGTATCATTGTCCAACGTAGACAGTCGATCTGCAACCTCTTTTTTGTGCTTTCCCCTTTGTAGTCTGTCTAATGTCTACATCTTCCATCCGGACGGAAGAGAGATGGATCCCTGAAGCAGTTCGAAACCGGGTCGAGACGGCGACTCACAGTACTAGAGGACTGAATAGATATCCACCTGCCAAACAGGCGAGGAATACGTAAGTAGTGGCCCCCGTAATTAATTTACTGCCGCCCCATCTGGCTGGCCACTACGGAGTAGTCTATAATACGGAGTAGTGGCTGGCAGCTCGGCACCTCCTACTATACCCGACTGGGGATGTATTCTGTAGACTCTTGCAATATCAAGCAATGGCAAGCTTCAGAAGGAGGGAGAAAAAAATTTTACTAGCTTGTAGATGAAGGAGAAATAGATACCAGGTCTTACAAAATATTTCAACCAGAGGTTTGAGGAGGATAACTTACGGTGACGATGGCCCACTTGCCGGTGGGTTTGATTTTATTTTATTTTTTTTCTCTTTCTTTCTTCTTCAGTTGTGATTGTCAATTTTAAAATGAGAGACACCGAAAGTGACCGCGTCGCTTCCTGAGGCCCCGTCTCTGTCCCGTGATACAGTTAGTCAGGCAGGAGTAAATGAGTAAATGACTGAATGTGTGAGTGGACTTACTCCGTAATGGGTGGCTGCCTCAATTCCCTGGGTCCCTCCCTATCTACTCCGGACGACTAGTAGTCTATCTCTCGCCAATCTCTCTCTACCATTCCTCCCCTCCCTATCCCTCTACACGCCCACTCATTGCCCCCCGGAAATACACAAACAGTCATCCTTCTTCCATCTACACTCCGCGGAGTTACTTCTCCAGATCTTCTACCTTATCCTTATCAGTTCCCCAGAACCATGCCAATCATGCCCTAAACTGCCGTGCAGAGACCCTTGCTTATCTCCAGCACTGGTCTCGTTGGTCCACGCCTCTCAATGAGGGCCATGAACTGGGCCTCGATCGCCATGCCATGAACCCTGAGGTCATCTTCCTGCTTAGGTCCATGACTAGTCACTCCGGCTCTCGCGCTGGACGGTCTCTCTTACCGCGCGACCCAGTATCCACAGCCACGCTCAATCCGACTGCCAGGTGTGGATCCCCGGTCATTGCTCCTAGATTGAGTTCACAGGCTTGCCTTGGTTCTGTTTATTTCGCTGCTGTTGCTGCCGATAATAATATTTTTTGCCCTGCTGCCACCACCGTGTTGAGCTTGACCCATTTCCTAGGAGATACTGATTTATGTTTCTCTGAATGTTATGTCGTTTAATTTTATCAGAAGCAAGCCACTCGCATCAATCAACTGGTAATCAGACCGCTGACCCTCCTAGGAGATAGATAACTAGATAGATTGATGCCTTGAAAGAGACCTCCCACACGGGGGTGTCGGAGCATTTCCTACGCCTGAAAAGAACGTTTCCACTTGTGACACTATCCGAAGCACCGGTCTATATATACACGTCCTCTCCATCGATCTAATTCGGTCTTAATTCTCCTGTATTGCCCTATACCACACTCTCAATATCCATTGCACTTCCAGCGGGACCCAGTCGTCCGTTGGCCTACTCGCATCTAATACGCCCTGGTGGTGTTTTGTCTTTGTTGTGATACCCCTTCTCTCTGTACTTGCTTAGATCCTTCTGTACCTTACATCCTTGCTGTCTCCTAGTGGCAGTATACCATCAGTTGATTTTTTTCACCGACCGAATTTTTCTGGCGATGGATCACATCAAGCTACTCTTTGTCTCTCCGGAGATTAACCCGAGTAATCGCAAAGCACAATCAATCCCCATCCTCAACCCATTCGACAAGTATGGTCGAGTTTTCTTCTTCTCATGGCTGGGTTTTATGGTGGCTTTCCTGTCGTGGTATGCCTTTCCACCGTTGGTAAGTGACTCCTAACCCGTACGCATGCATGGACAAATGTTGACATAGGTTCCTCACATAGTTGACCGACACAATTCGCCAAGATCTGAAGATGACAGAGACGCAGGTCGCAAACTCGAACATCGTTGCTCTGCTCGCGACGTAAGCCTTCCCGCCCCATACTCCTGTTTTTATATAGACATCCGTTGACAGTGTGCTAGTCTGCTTGTGAGATTCGTAGCAGGACCCCTTTGTGACAAATTCGGTCCTCGTCTGGTCTTCATTGGGCTGCTGCTTTGTGGTTCGATCCCAACTGCCATGGCGGGTCTTGTCACCACCCCCAATGGCTTGATTGCCCTGCGCTTCTTCGTGGGTATCCTCGGAGGTACCTTTGTCCCATGCCAGGTCTGGTGCACGGGATTCTTTGACAAGAAGATTGTTGGGACTGCGAATGCTCTGGCTGGTGGCTGGGGCAATGCTGGTGGTGGAATCACCTTGTATGTTGAACATTGTATACCTCTTGATCATCTTACTTACTTGTCTCAGCTTCGTTATGCCCGCTGTGTACGATTCCCTCGTCAAAGTCCAGGGCTTGCCACCACACAAAGCATGGCGCGTGGCATATATCGTGCCGTTTATCATCATCGTCGGGGTCGCCCTAACCATGCTCTTCGTATGTGAGGACACGCCGACGGGCAAATGGTCGGAGCGTCATCTCTGGGTGAAGGAGGCCACCGAGTCTGAGGGAAACATCATTGATATCAACTCGGGACTTCCGTCCAAAGCCCCCTCAGTGTCCGACATGATGACGGACGTGGAGAAGAAAGGCGGCGCCCAGACTCCCATGTCTCTAGGAGCCGAGTCTCAGCAAATTGGCCAGTTCGATGCGCTGCGGACGGACACGGTAGTAGCACCCACACGCAAAGAGGCATTGAACGTGCTCTTCAGTATGTTCACTGCGGCCGTCGCCATCCCATACGCCTGCACTTTTGGAGCAGAACTTGCCATCGAGTCCGTTCTGGCAAACTACTATGTAGCGAACTTCCCCAGTATGGGACAGACTGAGTCCGGAAGATGGGCCGCCATGTTCGGGCTACTGAATATCATCTGCCGACCGGCCGGTGGTTTCGTGGCCGACTTTCTGTACAGAACCACACAGAGCCTATGGTCGAAGAAGATCTTGCTGGTCTCCTTGGGACTCATCACGGGAGCTTTCCAGCTTGCGATCGGACTCACCAACCCGAAGACCGAGGCCACCATGTTTGGCCTCATGGCCGGGCTTGCCTTTTTCCTCGAAGCCTGCAATGGCGCCATCTTTTCTTTGGTACCTCATGTATATCCATTTGCCAATGGTGAGCTCACTTTGAACCCTCGATTAAATGACTTTGTGCTAATAATAATAGGTGTCGTGTCGGGTGCTGTCGGCGGTATGGGCAATTTTGGTGGAATCATCTTTGCCATCATCTTCCGCTACAATGGGTCGCACTATGCTCAATCACTCTGGATCATCGGGGCGATCTCGCTGGCAGCGAACGTGGGCATTTCGTGGATCCGGCCGGTGGCGAAGAACCCGGTTGTGAGGCAGTAGTGCATTCACTTTGTTTATGAAAGATCTTGATGATATCTAGCCGATGCATTTCATTTTTATGTAGTAATCTTTTTGAGAATGAGCTTTACTATTACGATTCTTCTGATCTCCGTTACACCTTGCTTCCTCTGTCGAGTTTGCGCTCGCGTACAGCAACCCCGTCTGTCTGAGCTAGATCTCATGAAGCAGCCAAAGCAACCATGGAACACAAATTCTAGAAGCCATTCACAGCAGCACACAAATGCACAGATGTAGATCGGATAAGAGATCCCCGGAAGACAGCGGAAAGTCAAAGCGCAATGATGATGGCATAGCGAATACTTTGAGTTTCGGGTCCGATTATATGAAGAACCATATGGTTGGGATAGCTACCTTTCTTGAACACAATCAAAATAACTTGATTATTGCTTGCTTGAAACTGAATCAATACTACATACTACCCATTACACATCACACTGACTACAATATATATACCTGAAATACGAACTACCTACCAAAATGTCTCAACGTACGTCACCCCATCCCCCGAGTCCCCACTACCACTCCCTTCCCCTTAAATAAAATAAAATCCATACTGATGAAATGATAATAAATTATAGACCACGAAAACATCTTCGACAAAATGTTCCACCACCACAAACACCAAGACACCCAGCGTCAGGAGAACGACGACAGCGGCAAATACCCCTCTCAGCAGAAGAGCAATCTGCACGAAACAGAAGAGGAAAGCCAACCTTCGCATCATGGAGAGGAGGAAGGAGTTGTGAATCGATTTGAAAATTATATTAAGGAGGATGAGGAGTTGGAGAGGGAGGGGCAGACGTATGGGGGGTTGATGTAATACTTTATTCATTCATTTACTATTTATTTTGGTTTCTTGGGTTGGATTGGGGATGTTGGGGGTATTTATTATCAGTATTCAGTTTACTTTATTATCATGTTTGTTCTGAGGGTAGTAAGTAAGTAGGGTGAGTTGTAGTGTGTGATTGGTACTAATTGGCTCCCTTTAGCTATTGAGTGCTGAAGGACGGTGTACATGTACTATTGGCATTGATGGGTAGGTAACTATACCCTTAGTACTAGTAGTCACTAGTTACTACTGAAAAAGTAGCAGTAGTTGATGTTAACACTATAATTTTCAAATCCTGTAGTAGGTCATGGATGTCAAGGTATCAATCAACAGAAAGGAAAAAAAAAAAAAAAAAAACCATGTAAGAGAGTAATTGATAATGCATATAAACCCATCACACTACTTCTAACAATTCTTGAACAGAAACATGTAGTATCTAAGTCTTGTGCTATCCTACCCTAATCTATTAACTTCTTAGTATACAAACAAACACCTACAACATCAACCAAATCCCAATTCTCCACCACCACAACATCTAACTAGTACTCCGTAGTTAGTAAGTAGTGTGACCCCTCCCTCGGTCCATCCCAACCCCCAATTCGGGCCATCATCACCCCGAATCTACAACAAAAACATACATATACAGCAACTACTACTACCACCATACCATCATCTTATCCTCACTTCCAGAATTACACGTCCACAACCTCTCTCTCTAAAACCATCCCAACCACCCTCTCCCACCTCAATCCCACCAAGTAGTACATACCAATCCAACAATGCCCACCCGCCGCATCGCCCAAATCGTCCACCTCAAGCCCTCCGCCATCGCCGCATACAAAGAATGTCACGCGAACGTATGGCCCGAAGTCCTACAGCAGATCAAGGAGTGTAATATCCGAGATTGTATATTATCCCCTCCCATCCCCTCCCCCATTCCCGCGTGATAAACGAGGTGCAAAGTTATATGTATATATATATATATATATATATATATATATATAGAAGCAGAAGCAGAAGCAGAAGCTAATATGGGGCAATGGCTATTTACAGACTCTATCTTCTTCGATAATGAGCGGACGCTGTTCGCAACGTTCAAATATGTCGGGGAGGACTTTGAGGGTGATATGCAGCGGATGAAGGCCAATCCGAAGGTGAGGGAGTGGTGGGGGTTGACGGATGGGATGCAGGTATGTTCTTTATTATTTCTATCCATTAGTATGATGGTGGGTTAGAGGGAAGTGAGACTAATATATATTATGTGCAGGAGAGTCCGATTCCTGGGGCTATTGGAAGTGCTGAAGGTCCTGGGTGGTGGAAGGTATTGGATGAGGTGTTTTATACTGAATAAATTGTATCAATACTCTCAAGTTTGTTTCCGTCTTCACTCCTCACAAGTATAAAAATACATAAAAACTACTTGACGGATCTCATTCGGATCTCATATACATGCCATGCAACAATGGGTATCTTCGCCGGGAAAATCCGTAGCCGCAAATCAGCTGCTCCAAAAAACGCCGACTCCCTCTAACGCAAATATATCGGTAACCAATCGTTATAGCTCGTGCAACACCACTAAGATCATGCCAACCGCCAGGGTATAGGCAGCCCACGGTGTCGGTCTCATTCGGCGCTGCCAGGGACATCCTTCAGGATCTCCCATCCAAATTCGTCCTCTGGCCTCTCGGGCTCCATACCAAGCGCGTTGCGGTACGCCCGCACCTCATTCTGTAGGCCTGCAACAATCCGGATAGGTAGCTCTTCCTCCTCGGAGCGGAGACGGTACGCCGTCCGAATCATCTCAGCACACTTCATCGTCTGCGCATGCCAGTAGTCACGGTCTAAGCGGCTCTCCAGGTGGGAGTCACGCTCCGCTTGGAGCAGGTTGTTGTAGTGGCGTTTCTGAGACAGGTAGTGCATGTTGTTGTTTTGGCAGTAGTTGCGGATTTGCTCAACCATCGTCCCGAGGGTCGCCTCATATTCACCGATCAATTTGGCGTTCTCCGCCTGCTCGGTTCGTAAAACTTCAACTAAACGTCTCTCCTTGGCGAGGGCACGCTCGAGCTCGGTAATACGGGCACCTTAGCTTGTCAGCCGCTGTTCAGGGAAAGGGAAATTCAGACGATCACTTACCGGTGATTTCCCCGTTCACTTGCTGCAAAGTCGGGTTGGTACCCTCCGAACCAGACCGTTTCTGTCCCTGTCAGCCAGGTTAAACCAGACTATGAAACCTTCGTGAAAGACATACCATAATTTCCTCCGCACTAGTCACTATACTTTTCGTCATTTCGCGATTGTTCTTCAACACATCGCTCAACTCCAATACCATGTCGTAGAGATGGTGCAGATCCATCTGATGGCCCGCGTTCATAGGAACTCCACCGTTCATACCAGGCATTCCGCCGCCGTTGACCTGAGCCGGTGGATGAGGCATCGCAGGCGACATCGAGGGACGAGGAACATTGGGCATGCCCGAAGCACCGCCAGAGTTATCGCCGTAGCTGGCAAACATGGCCGACCCAGGGCTACTGCCCGACATGCCCCCACTGCTGTTCATCGACATGTTTGCGGAGTCAAAAGCGTTGTTTAATGCGTTGAACTCGGGATCGACAGCAGGATTCGGTTTAGGGAGGTTATGGTCGTCGTCAAAGCCGAACCCAGAGGACTCCAAACCCAACACTTCTTTTCTGAATTTCTCAAGGTCACGACGAGTAACGTGGGTGGAACGGCGGCGATGCCCACGCACAAAGGGTGCCTTGGAATCAGGGGAAGGCGTAGACGCGCTGATGATGCCGGGTGAAGAGGGCTCACTTTTGCTGTAGCTGGTGTGGTGCGCGGTCGGAGTTAGATCGTCAAGACTGGGGAAAGGAACCGTTGCGGTGAGAGCAGCAGACAATGGGGAAGCAGCAGGTAAAGCTGGGCGATGAGGGTCATCCACCTCGTCCTGATAGTGAACCGTGGCCGCGGAGAAGCCAAAACAGTCAAGCGTCGGAAATTCGGAAGATTCCAGCCGAGCACCAGCCTCGGCAGCGCCACAACTTGGGGCGGTGGCCGCACCAGAATTCTCCATGATAGCTAGTAAGTAGCTAGTTAAACCTGGGTTATGCCAAAAAGGGATGAATTCAAAAAAAGTGTGTGGTGAATGTGAAATAATAAGAGGAAGGGAAATCGATGGGTAGAAAAATAAAAATGTGGGAACCAGTGAAAAGAGAAGGAACAGAGCAGCTGCTTCTGCTTCTGCTGCTGCTGCTGCTCCTCTGTAAGTAGTAAGTACTTAGTCCCAAAAACAACCGTTTGGCTTTCGTTCTTCTCCCTCTTTCCTGTCACTGGCACTTTGCTATGATCGTTGCAGCCGCAGTCAATTGTCTGCTTCCCCCCTTGCAACTTCTCAAAGTTCCGGTAACTGCATGGGAAATCCCTCTAATTATAGCTGCCCAAAGGAGACCTGCGGCGTAGAGTCAAGAAATTGAGATCTACTGATTGATTATCCAGTTGCAATGGTTTTCATGCATCTGTGCGACCTCTTTTGCCGGCAATGCCGCACCCTCAATCTCCAGAAGGCAAATGTATGTATGAAAGGCGCAACGCTCTCATAAGTGTAGGCAAGGCATGCAATTTAGGTATTCGGGCATCCTTCCATTCCATTCAATGCATGAAGTCATTCTAGCCGGGCCCTTTCTCTCTATTTGTCATCACGTCATGTCCAATAAGGCATCTAGTTTCTGGTCGCACCCCAGATACGGCTTGTCCTGCTCCTGAGCCCCCAGTTTCTTCTTCCCCTGTTCGACTCGGCCGCCAACTCGCGCAACCAGCATCCTCATCTTGTCTAACTCCTGGACTAGCTCACCATCTCTCGTCACCAGATTAGGTTGGATGTGTTTCTGCGGTTCTCGGAACGGCTCCAGTAATTGCTGCAGCTGTCGTAATTGATCCAGGCGCCGTTGTCGCTGTTGCCGTAAGCGATCCAGGTCCGTAAGACGCTCCCGTAGTTCTTGGTATCTGTATCCCAATTAACCAGCTGAAACTGTGATCGGTGCGAGAGGTATCTCAGACCTAGCCCGCTGTTCTTCGCTCGCAGATTGGTCCTCTAGCTCCAATGGGAGTTGTGCGATATTCCTGCGACATTAGATCGATCCGCTTACCCAGCAACAGAGGTTCGAGGCTCACAGATGACTGGATAGATCCACCGATCTCTCAACCCCTTTTATCAAAGACCCTGGGTTGTGTATTGCCTGGGTTGCCGACGACCAGTATAGGCTGGTAATTTGCTGAGCGACATGCTGAACCGCTTGGGAGGAATAGACGATGCGACTGTGTTGTTTCAAAGCGGCGTTTACTGGTGTCCCATAGACTCGTTAGAAACACATGCAAAAGGAAGAACGATATGCTTATTAACCACAGTGCACGATAAGCGATCATGTGCAGTAATCCCAGGATGGTATGTGTGAAGATTTGATTCTGGATGCTTGCACTTACACTTTTGCAGAACATCACCGACCACCTTATCACTGAGATCATCCTCTTCAGTCTCGGCGGCGTAACTTCGCCAATCTTCGGGCGGCTCAAGGCCTTCAGATAGTATTCGGACTTGCGCCCTGATGAAGGATGACTTCAACTCGGAGATGGTACGAGTAGATTCCATGACTCCATAGTGAGGGATTGTGATCGGCTCAGAGGATAAAAGAGGACCATCGCGATTCGGCTTCACTGAACGCGTCCGGCGCTATCGATAAGCACACACGTGACGGGCCCCCTTCCGCCAACCTGCCATCCATCGTCCATCATTACCAGAGATTGGAGTCAACAATCTCCTTGCGTCTTGATGATTTGTACGTTTCATGCCGCAGATATTGCAGGGCTTCTGCGGCGCAGGTTTGGCCTTTAGGGTCTGGAATTCCCCTGCAGCTTTCATTGCCTCGGACCTTGATTGTAAACCATAAGCAACAACCGATCTCTCGTATCTAACCTCGGTAACTTGGACCCCAGGTCTGGTCTTCTACTACTCCGCCAAAGAACAAACATCAAGCGACATCTTCGTCTTACATCTAGATCACCTTTGTTGCTGCTATCTCTACCCATCTATTGTCTTCCCAGAACCTCTGCCGACTAGTATATCGCCACCATGGCTGACGATCAACGGCCGATAGGTCTGCTGTTCGACATTGGAGGAGTGTGTGTAAGGCTGCGCGATTGCCCAACCCAGAGATAATAGTCTGTTAATAAAGCTGCAGGTTGTCTCCCCCTTTCAGGCTATTCTGGACTATGAACTGGCCCACAACATCCCCCCAGGATGGGTGAACTTCAGTATTTCTCGTACCTCACCCAACGGCAGCTGGCACAGACTCGAGCGCGGGGAGATCAAGATGGATGCCGACTTCTTTAAGGAATTTAACAAGGATCTACGAAACCCTGACTTATGGAAGGCGTTCCACGAGAGACTTCAGAAACAGCGCCCGGATAGTGCGCCAACATCGGTTCCTCCATTACCCGCCCTGGACGCAGAGTTCCTCTTCTGGGAGATGATGAGGGTGTCTAGGACGCCGGATCCATATATGTTCCCTGCTCTGAAAAAATTGAAGCAGTCGGGAAAGTTCGTTATGGGAGCTCTGTCAAACACAGTGATATTCCCCGATGGACATCCATACAACACAGACATTGATGACAAGAAGTCGCAATTTGACTTCTTCATCTCATCTGCGCATACCGGTCTCAGGAAACCGGACGGGAAAATATATCAGGTTGCGCTGCAAGAGATGGAAAACGTAGCAAGGAAGAAGGGTCTAGGCGGTATTCGCCCTTCTGACATTGTGTTCCTTGATGACATTGGAGAGAACCTTAAGGGCGCAAAGAAAGCCGGCATGCGAACCCTGAAGGTTAATCTGGGACGGACCCAGGACGCTGTGAAGGAGCTGGAGAGGATGACCGGCCTTCAGTTGCTAGAAACTCCAGAAAAACCCCGGCTGTAAATAGTATAATTTGGCGAGCTAGTAAGATTATATCCGGACAGCTACAGATTTATAGATGTGATATTTCTTCCAAATCAATATTGCTGAAAGAGAAGAGTTGGTTTTGATTGTTCGGAGTACGGAGCAAGTGGTGGTACATACTTCGGTCCTTCAGCCCGCTCGTGGCCAACCGCAGTCTGGCGCCGGGATGCAGCCACGCTAAGCGAAGCCTTCCACAAAAGACATCCCACGAAATTTCCCATCTCTTCCTTTGCAGCCACCGTCGACAACCCCCGTCATCAACCAGCGGCAACCGTCAAAATGGTGAGTTTTGCTGTAATTCTCAAGTGACTGGGAACCGAATTCGTCGCAAATTCTCCCGTCGCCTGAACGAAAATTTCAGGTCATCCCACATGGGCGACCGCACTGTGGGATTGGAAACGGGTCTTTGCAAGATGCTTCGGACGGTCTTTCTCTGAAGCGCAAATTGCTGACTCGACTGTGTCTTGTAGCCTTTCCACAAGCTCGTCAAGAACAGCGCTTACTACAGGTAAGAAATTTACAAGACCCCTCATTTCGTCCAAAATTGTCATGGAACTAACAAATTTTCTCTCTACAGCCGCTACCAGACCAAGTACCGTCGTCGCCGTGAGGGTAAGACCGACTACTATGCCCGTAAGCGCTTGATCACCCAGGCCAAGAACAAGTACAACGCCCCCAAGTACCGCCTGGTCGTCCGCTTCACCAACCGCGACATCATCACCCAGATCGTCTACTCTGAGATCTCCGGTGACAAGGTCTTCGCCAGCGCCTACTCCCACGAGCTCAAGCGCTATGGCATCACCAACGGTCTGACCAACTGGGCTGCCGCCTACGCCACCGGTCTCCTCCTCGCCCGCCGTACCCTCAAGAAGCTCGGCCTGGATGAGCAGTTCCCCGGTGTCGAGGAGGCCGATGGTGAGTACACCCTCACCGAGGCCGCTGAGACCGACGAGGGCTCCCGCCGCCCCTTCAAGGCTTTCCTTGATGTCGGTCTTGCCCGTACCTCCACTGGTGCCCGTGTCTTCGGTGCCATGAAGGGTGCCTCCGACGGTGGTATCTTCGTTCCCCACTCCGAGAGCCGCTTCCCCGGTTTCGACATCGAGTCCGAGGAGCTCGACGCTGAGACTCTCCGCAACTACATCTTCGGTGGCCACGTCGCTGAGTACATGGAGGGTCTTGCCGACGACGATGAGGAGCGCTTCCGCTCCCAGTTCCACAAGTACCAGGAGGCTGGTGTTGAGGCTGGTGACATTGAGGAGCTCTACACTGAGGCCCACAAGGCCATCCGTGAGGACCCCTTCAAGAAGGACGAGGATGCTGGTGAGAAGAAGACCAAGGAGGAGTGGAAGGCCGAGAGCAAGAAGTTCCGTCCTGTCCGCCTCACCCGCGAGCAGCGCAAGGAGCGTGTTGAGCAGAAGATCCGTGAGCTTGCTGCTTAAATGTCGGACTTCTGAGGCCGATCGTGCTTGATGGTTTTCACCCCTCAAAAAAAGAAACTATGAGTGCGATAGTCAAAAAAGTTTGATAATTCTCTTTGAAATATAGGGGAATTAAGGTTCTTCTTGCCCACTACTACTACTACTTTTTTTGTGATATCCAGTAGTCTTGATGAAATCTTCATGACCGGAGTTTATATGGCAGGGTTGAGTTTTTATGCGTTCGGAGCAACTAAGGAACGCGCACAATGGGATATTAATTGACCATCTAAGAAGTGCTCCGGTAAAATGGCAGTGTAGACACAATTTGTAGATTCCACAATCATGTCCGCCATACTAGTGTCACAGTGGACCATCATCATAAACCCCCCGCCATCCTTCAATCGTCTTACATTCTCAGTCCAAGTGGATTAATCTATCGATGGATTGTTCGAAGACCCCTCTCGGATATGTGGGGGAACAAGCAGCAAAATTTCGGTAGAAGCATTGTGCAACCCTCAAGAAGGAGCATCTTCCCGCTCTGGGTAACATGCATCGCGCACTAGTCCTCATTCGGCCTAGCCCTGAAGCCCTAACTGCCATTCCTGTGCCGTCACTCTCGGAACATGTTGCTCTGTCCGGCCAGTTGCTTCGAGATGATGAGGCTGGCTGGATAGTATACCTTCCTCGGAGAATGTAACCTGTACCATTTATTTGTCTGATGGGGCCATGGAGAAAATTTTTCTGTCTGCATCGAACTAATGTTGATTTGACGCAGTCCATGACGAGTTGATATTGCTAACGAATGCGGATGCTTCGGCATGGTCGTACGAAGACATTGCTTGCTACTGGTTACTTACTAGTAGTGGATTACTAGTTAGGCACTTGTTGGTGGTTGATGGCAGACAACAACAGCGGCAACAACGACCCAACCCGAGTAGATCGGACGCTACTGTGTAGTACTACCAACTAAGTAGTAAGTATACTCTGAGTGTAGGCGGGTAGATATTCAGCCCCAGGCTTAATCTGATGAATGAGTGAATGACATGTCATTCCTTAAGCGAGAGAAGAAACTGGCAGATGACATCATCCGACTTTCTAGTTAAGCATATTCTGCGCAAAGATCATCCATGCTTTTCAGGCTGATCTGTGTAACACCGTATGACATTTCCATTCTTCTTTTTCAGTCTTCAAGCCTCATACGTCGGAGCTGATATTCCACTAAGGGCGCCGCCGTTCAAAGTACGTACGTACTAACTAACTTGGCTATGTACTTTGAGCAGGGATGGCAAAAAAGAAAGGTGCACTTTGCTGGTTAGAGTGTATGATCAACATGTTCTCCTCTCGGGTTCCATAAAGTGGATCGTGTTAAGTTCAATGGATCAAGGCACCACGTACTATGGGAACATGGGTTATTATACTCTGTTATTCGGGTTGTTTAATTTGCCATCGAACTCGACTCTTTCGATCTTCGGTTTGCTTTCTTTCAGATGGCTCGGAGAAATAAACTTACTATCTTGTGGTTGTGTCCGCTGAGAGGGCAGGTGTGATGATCATGATGGATGGGCGTGTGGTGAGAACGCCACTCGAAAGGGAAACTGAAGAGCGGGAACTTGAGATGCCAGTAGTGGGTAGATGCTGGAGATAGTAGAGGGTTAGTTAAGAAAGGAGATCGCTCGCGTGGCTTATCATTCGATCAGTTCTTGCTGTTGGACAGACATGAACTCATAACTAAACTACATTATTAACCAGAACAAGAGATCTAAGTAGTAGCTGTGGGATCGCAGTCGATCGGGGTCAGGTGCTAAAAAGAAGAGTATCTAGAACCTATCACGTACACACACACACACACGCATTATGTAGAGTAGTAACCCAGGAAAGAGTAAACGAATGGCAAGATGAACAACGCACACGAAGATTACTTAGTACTCCAGAATCTACTTACTCCATACACGGTACCCATAATTACTTTCTGGTAGTCTAGTGTCGGGCGCTGAATGCGACCATCAGCTCCAAACGAACGGTACTAGCCCGCCCAGGTTTAGGATTATCTGGAAATCGATGATTTGCGGGTTCGCGTACGCACTTGTAATTTCAGCACCGGTTGAGGGTGGGCTTGGCAGGGTGTCGTGTGAGTTCTGTCCTCCAATTCTCCTCGGCAAACAAATCAGGCGGAATATGCGGAAAGAACGTGTGGAAAGTGGCAAGAAGAACTTCCCCGTCAGTCCATTTTTGGGGAGTGGGAAAGGGTAAATGGGTCATCATTCGATGCAGGTATCGGGTGAGGATATCATCAGTCGATACATTTGTATTTTACTGATCTTAAGTACTTCTGTAATGTGTGCAGGGTGCAGGACCAAAGCGCAATGCTAAGGTTGCTTTAGTGAGAGAAGAGTCGACAGGGGAGCCAAAGTACTTCTCCGTAGACGGAGGGGGAGAGGATATGTGTAAGAAACGGTCACAAGTACCCGTTTCTAATACCGTCTAGTAATTTCTCCGCAACGGACTCGAGTATGTAATCGCCGAACTCCCCACTGGCGGGAATCATGCTATGCCCACTAGTCCCAGTTGAGCCACTTCCCTCCTCATCCCGATCGCCTTCAGTTCAACTGGTTTGCTTTGCCCGCAACCCTTTTCTTTCCCTTCTCTCCCTTTTTCTATTCTAGACCCTTTTCGAAAATACTAGTTTTCCCTCTCCTCCTTGACATCCCCATCTTTCATTGCATTCCCCTTTCCCCCTCGTCATATCCTTCTCACTCCCCCCCCTATTGACGTCGCTCGTCTTACGTTCTTGTCCCCGTTACTCCGCTGTGTCACCATGTCCGCAGTACTTCGCCGCAGTACCATGATGGAATGTACCCACCGTCACCGTTCTTAATCATCCGCTGGCTGAAACTGTGATTTTTCATTCTCGTCGCGAAGCATAGTAGATCTGTCGGATCATTCTATTTTGGACTACTCGTGCAGCGATATAGCCTCCGAAATTCGATCTGTATCCACTATCGCGCCAACCGGGCTCAGCTTTCGCCTGAGGACCGCCGCTTTGCCGTTCATCAGCGAGCTGACGTCGTCTCTCTTACACCTGATTATCTAGCATACTGTGATTGAATCGCATACGGACTCAAAATGGAAGGGATTGAGACTGTGGATGTCAGCTGGCTGCATCACTCGCAAAAAGGTAAGCCGGACGTCGCTCAATTGCTACTATGTCTTTGTGTGTACCTTTTCTAACTCGATCGCAAGACCATCTGTCGCGCTGTAAATCGGCATCATCAGTGGTTAGCGATAAATCTGTCGCGGATCCAGATGTCACATATGCCCAAGAACGAAGTCTCGAAAAACCAAGCACTACCGATAATAACTCTTCAGCATCAGCCCCCCTCACTCCTACCATATCTAAGAGTTCGTCACAAGAAGATGGTGCGAAGGCCACGAAGGAGGTCAAAAATGAAGACAAGTCAGTGGAGGGAAAGCCTACTGGCACATCGCCAGCTACTCCGAAAACCGCGCCTAGGCCGGTTACCGGACGAAGGAACTCTTGGATATCGACCCTGAGCTCCAAGTTTTCCTCTGGTTCTACTCCACCGTCGCAGTCGAATATGAAGGCACAGCAGAGCCCGAAGGCGACCTCTCCTGTTTCGAAAATGGACATGCATAATCCTTTCGGTGCGGCATATTCTCCAAAGGACAAGGAAGAAGAGAGGACGAATGAGAATAGCCCTTTCGCCTCAACATCTCCAAAAGGTCCTTCGTTCCTTCAGAGCGCCTTCCGGAAACTTTCGTCATCCGCATCTGGTGGCACTGGTAAAGCCGCTTCTACTGGGACGATCTGCCAACGTCGCGTAATGAATATCGATCCGGATCGAGATAGGTGCAAGATCCCGGATCTGAATCCTGCCAAATTGCGCCGTGTCGCTTTCTGTGTGGATGTGGAGATCGCTGGGATATCCTACCGCGAATCGGATGAAGACAGCCCACCAGCAAGTAGTAGGCGACGTCCTGTCCCAGAGGTTAACAACCAAAAGTCCAAACGATCGCATATCAAGTCGAAAGAGAAGGAGGAAGCTGCCGCGTTAAAGAATCCCCAGGCTGTGGTTTCCTCCAAGGACAAGAGTAGCCCAACAAACGGGGCGGATGGGAAGACTTCTGGGTCACCAGACACGCCGCCAGCTGAAGCGAATGCCAATGGCGAGACGAAAGAGCCAACACGAAAGCAGGAAAAGAAGAAGAGGTCAGAAGAAGAAAGGCGTGAGCGGAGGGAAAGAAGACGCAGACAGGCAGAAGCAAATGGCTCCATACCCATGCAACTCACAGCCGACGGCCAGGAATATGGCTGCCGAACGCCTGCATCTAACACGAGCCGTACCAAGACACAGAGTCATCCAACGACAGATCCTGTGCGGATATATAGACGCTGTTGTCAACTGCGCGAGACGCCTGTGCTCAAGCGTATAGTTGACGAGATCTCATCACCTTCCTCCACGTTAGCCGAGTCCCCAGGAACCGTGGCCGTGCTTGACCTCAGCGACTTCCCTATGACGGCCGAGGATATTGCTACTTTCTGCGATTGGCTCGCTGTTGTACCCGTTCGAAAACTCATCATTGAAAGATGTGCTCTGACTGACGACTCGGTGCGATCTATTCTCGCTGCACTACTTTCCACTAGAACTGTGGAACAGATGATGCAGCGGCGTAGAAAGGGAAAGAAGGCAGAGGTGGTGACTTCGGAGAAAGAACAGCGGTTCAGCGTCGTTGAGAAGGTGTCGCTGAAAGATAACCCCAAAATCGGACCAGAAGGATGGCGTCATATCTGCCTATTTGTCCACCTTTCAAAATCCTTGAAGGCGATCGACTTGTCCGGCATTCCTCTTCCCAAGACACCCATTACTGTCAACTGCTCCAACAAAGGAGCCTCGCAAACCCAGAACGTCACCAACGTAGCAACTCTCTTCGCGACTTCGCTCGCACAACGCTTTGGCGGGGACCACTTGGAAGAATTGCTGCTGAGCGAATGCCGACCTACGACCGAAGATGTGAAGAAAATATGTGATGCAGCCACAACCCTTGGCTTGAGGAGACTTGGCTTCGCCAATAACGAGCTGAGCAGGGAAGGTCTGGAGCACATTGTTGATTATCTCAAGGCAGGGAAATGCGAGGGGCTAGATCTGGGTGGAAATCCCATCCAAGACCAGTTGGACTTGATCATATCTTCTTTCACGGGAGACCACCCGCTGTATGCTCTTAGCTTGGCTGACTGTTCACTTACGCCTTCTACCGTCTACCCCTTGTTCCAAGGATTGACAAAATTGCCGGACCTTCGTTTTGTCGATTTCTCCCACAATCCAGGTCTTTTCACTATGCAGCCCGATGCGCTAGCAACCTTCCGGCGTTTTCTTCCCAAAATGCCTGCTCTCAAACGCATCCATTTGGCCGACGTCAACTTGTCTCCTGACCAAACCATTGCTCTGGCCGAGGTCCTCCCCGAATGTCCCAGCTTATGCCACTTGAACATTCTCGAAAACCCAGCCATTACGGCATTGGCATCTGCGACGGATCCCGCCAATCAAGAAGAGGCATGTGCTGTGTATGCATCCTTGATGGCGGCAGTGCGTGTTTCCAGAACGATCATAGCCGTGGAGATAGAAGTCCCTACTGCCGAAAACAACGAGGTTGTGAAGGCTTTGGCTTCCCAGATAGTCGCCTACTCCCTCAATAATCTGGAGCAAGGTGCCATTGCAGCAGAGTTTTCCGATCCAACAGATACACCCACGAGATCAGCCGTCCATGTTCCGGAGATTTTGCAGCATATCGTCGGCCACGGTACTGGAGATGAGGTGGAGGAAGTTGACGAGGCTGCACCTGATGAGGACTATGTCATTGGAGGGACCGGCGTCGTCAAAGCTCTCGGTGTTTGCCTCGGTAACGTGGATCGCCATATGCCAGGAGACCAGTCCGGACCCCCAAGTGGCACAACTACACCCAGGCATAGGAAATCCAGGTCTTATGTCACTAAACGACCCCGTGACATGTCCAAGAACCTCTTGGAGTCTGCACGTAATATCCGGACGCGAATCCAGTCGGCCCTTGTGCGCGAAGATAAGGCCGGCAATGACACCAATTACCGTATGTTGCCTTTCTTACTCCCCCTCTTTAGGTGGTGATGCTAACTAGCTTTTCCACTACAGGGCGTCTTCAATTCCTTGACTTCACCTTACAGCGCATGATCCAGCGATTTGAGGACGAATATCCTGAGACCCGCATCATACCCCAGTCCATCCCATCGTATGCGATCCAGGATACTAGCTCACAGGGTTCTAACGACGACGCATGGAACGGGCCCGTGTCTGAAAACACCCAGCTGAATGGCACCTGTGCTGATGCCGAGGCCGTGGTAGATGACGAGGAGGAGCAATATGCCGTCCGACTATCGCGGTCAAGCTCGATTACGTCGCTTCATTCACGCGCAATGACCTCCGAGGAAGGCCATGTTCACCGTCTTGGGCAGAACATTCGGCGCGATTTCCTCCGGCCTTCGTTTGATCAGGCTGACGATGATATGTCGGCATTCTCATTCGAAGAGTCCCATATGGCCGCTTTGCGTGATAAACTTGATCGTCTGCAGGAGGAACAAACCCACACACCTTTTGAGAGTGTGGATGCGGACAAAGCGCTGGGAGATCTGGGTAACACAGTGGAGGAGTTATGGGCCGCTCGTAAGAACGATGCGGAAACCTTTGAGAAGTTCCGGCAAAGCCAAATCGCTGCGCAATTCAACAGTGGCAAAAGGACATCGTCTAGCAGGAGCAATGGGAACGACGATACCGAATCAGATCAGCAGGCTTCTTTCTGAGTTGGAACCTGGGTTGACTGGGTTAATCATAGCCGATTTCTGGCTTTTGTTCATACCCACAGGTGCTTCTACCCTCGTCTAGCTGGCGATGAGGCTAGTATTTCTGTATGGACGGATGACTGGGATCTCTGCCGGCAGAGGATGGCCCTTGTTTGTATATAGGTCACCGACAAGCGTGACATTATTATCTGTATTCTAATCTACTTCGCACATGCGATGTGTATCTGCGGTGGCAATCTCCTTTCGTTTTTACCTATTGTTTGTTGTTCTTTTTCATAATGGGAGGGGGGAAATCTAGGCTAAGGGTGGGTAAAGGCGTTGGTACTGAAGGTGCATGGGGAAATATGGGGCATATAGGAAGTTGAGAACTACAAGAGGTGGTGAGAGTAGGTTGTTAATGTTGATAATAACTATGCGTTGTGAAATTAGCGATGGTGGACGAGTTAATCAATAGTCAATAGTTGAGTGGAATGTAAACAGTGCCCCGCTTAGATAAGGCGGACATCCTCGGCAGGCCCCGAGAATCCGGGGAGGGAAGGAGCCCCCGGGCCTATTCACATGTCAAGCCCCCATCCATCATCCTTCCATCGTCATCCCCTCGCTCTTCTCACCCATCATATCTCCTCCTTCCCTCCCTCCCTCTCTCTCTTCATCCTCATTCCCCTTCTCGTCCCTCTTCATCTCCCCTCCTTTCCATTTGTCCTCACCGGTCATGTTAGCCGTCATCGACTTCGGCTAACTACACTTCCGGGGTTCACGTCGCAACCATGGCTGCGCAATCCAAGTTATTTCCGCCCGAGCGGTCTATCCGACACCTCTTCTCCCGCCTGGCTGCCACCTACCTCCGTCATCGTAAACAAATCTCCCGTACTGTGTATTTAGCTCTCTTCGCCGCTCTCGTGAAACGCGTCCATAATGCCATCTCCGAGCAAAAGGCCGCCTCCCACCACCAGGAAGAACTGCGCCGACGCCCTGGAACCAGTAGTCTTGGCGAAGGCGGCGATCGTCCGCGCAAAAAGGTCGAAGTCAACCGGGAGTTCTTTCGCAATCTGCTTCGTCTGTTGAAGATCGTGATCCCCGGTTGGCGGAGCAAAGAGTTACGGCTTTTGTTTGGCCACAGTGTCTTCCTGGTGCTGCGGACACTGCTGAGTCTGTATGTGGCCGAGCTGGATGGCCGGCTGGTTAGCAATCTGGTGAGAGGGAGAGGCAAGGACTTCTTGCTGGGGCTAGTGTGGTGGATGATAGTGGCAGTTCCTGCGACATTCACGAACTCCATGGTAAGTGGCTTCATATTCACAGAAGAGAAAGGTTCAGAAGCTAAGTCCCTTCTGTGTTGCGGTAGCTATCTTATCACCAATGCAAACTCGCTCTCTCTTACCGCAAACGCCTGACAGACTACATCCATGACAAATATTTGTCGAACATGACGTTCTATGCCATATCCGCTTTGGACGATCGGGTCAAGAACCCCGACCAGCTCATCACAGTAGATGTTTCAAGGTTCTCCGACAGCCTGGCAGAGCTGTACTCCAACCTGGCAAAACCGATTCTCGACATGGCCATCTACAACTACTCTCTTTCCAAGAGTGTGGGCGGAGAAGGCCTGTTTATTATGAGCCTCTTGGTGCAATTATCCGCCAATGTTATGCGAGCCTTGACGCCACCATTCGGCAAATATGTGGCCGACGAAGCACGTCTGGAAGGCGAGTTCCGGTTCCTGCACTCGCGTTTGATCGACTACAGCGAAGAGGTGGCTCTCTACCACGGCCACGAGGCAGAAAAGGACACCTTGGATAAGGGCTACTTCACTTTGATTAAACACGTGAACCGCATTCTTCGCAGACGCTTATACCACGGATTCATGGAGGATTTCGTTATCAAGTACTTCTGGGGTGCCTTGGGATTGATCCTCTGCAGTATCCCTGTCTTCTTCCGCATTCCCGGCCAAGTCACTCAAACTATGGGCGACCGTACCGAGAGTAAGCATTTGCACCCTGTCTAGAAACCTATACATCAGCACGGTGACTGACATGCATCAAACAGGCTTCGTTACCAATCGAAGAATGCTGCTTTCTTCCTCAGACGCTTTTGGGCGTCTAATGTTCTCCTACAAAGAAATCTCCGAACTAGCTGGTCACACAGCCCGTGTCTCTTCGTTGCTAGAGGTTATGGACGACCTCTTAGCCGGCCGATATGAGAAGAAGCTTGTGTCCTCCGCCTCCACAGAAGAAAACTCCGCCATCTTATCCGGTCGCGGAGTCGTCGAGGAAAGTGATTCAATTGAATTTACTGACGTCCCTATTGTTTCACCAAACGGCGATGTTCTCGTCCGCAAATTGTCCTTCACCGTGCACCCAGGCGACCACCTTCTGATTGTTGGACCAAACGGATGCGGCAAGTCCTCCCTGTTTCGAATTCTCGGTGGCCTGTGGCCTGTCTACGGAGGCCAAGTCAAGAAGCCCCGATTTGACGACATCTTCTACATCCCTCAGCGCCCGTATCTTTCGCGAGGTACGCTCCGCCAACAAGTTATCTACCCAGACGGTGTCCGCGAAATGCGCGCCAAGGGAATTACCGACGATGATCTCTACGAGATCCTCTCAGTCGTGGAGATCGCTTCTGTTGTTGATCGCCCTGGAGGTTGGGACGCCGAGGAAGAATGGCGCGACGTCCTATCCGGTGGTCTGCAACAACGGATAGCCATGGCCAGACTATTCTATCATCGGCCAAAGTTCGCCATTTTGGACGAGTGCACCTCCTCTGTTACTTTGGAGATTGAACGTGTTATGTACGAAACAGCCAAGAAGCTAGGTACTACGCTGATGACTGTGTCCCACCGACGGAGTCTTTGGAAATATCACAAGAAGATTCTGCAGTTTGATGGGCAAGGAAGCTACATCTTCACTGGTCTGGACTGGGAAAGGAGACTAAAGTTGGAAGAGTAAGTTGCTTCGCTCCGAGTTGTTCTGGTGGCTGCATCATGGGAGATGAGCTAACACAGCGCTTTATTACAGTGAGAAGGAGGAGCTGGACCTCCAACTTCGCATGGTGCCAGAGTTGCAGAGGCGCATGGCTGAATTGAGCGCGTAGGGCCGTGATTCGTTCACGTGTTCATTTGCCTGAAGGGATATAGAGTATATATGGGGTTTATAGTTGTTGTCGCTGTGTCACTTGCCGTGCAATGGTTGCGTTATGGTATGTGTAGCGCGTTTGGGGCAACTTACACATTCATGATTAATGTAGAAGACATATGGAACTTTGTAAGAACAGTTAGTTGCATAGAATATAGCTGTTTGATAATTGCTGATCCAAACAATGAGTTACTGCCGAGTGAGTGAATGGCTCCGTCATAAGCATCTCTCTCCTGTTCATCGGGCAGCGTTACGAGTGTAGGATCCATGTAATACTAGAAGTTCAATCCAACTCGCCAAGAGGAAAGAAAAGCAGAAGAATAGAGCGGGTGACAAATCGGCAAACGAAAAGGAAGGACCAGATGATGCAGGAGTCCAACTTCAACAATGGCCACTGTCTAATTCTCCACCTCGAGGGGCTCTACATTCCAAATGCTTTCGGCGTACTCATTGATCACGCGGTCGGTCGAAAAGAAACCCATGCGGGCAACACTGGTGATGGACTTGGCTAACCACTCTTCGCGGTTCTGGAACGACTCATCAACCAAGTCCTGCGTGGTAATATACGAATTGAAGTCATCAGACACTAGGTAGTAATCTCCGTGCTCAACAATGGAGGCGATGAGTGCGGAGAAGTTGTTGACATCACCGAACATGCCGCCACGAATTGCATCGAAGACTTTAGCCAAGTGAGGATCAAGCTGGAAATCGCCGTAGAGGTGTCGGTGGCGAAGCTCTTCCACATCCTCTGCTAGATTTCCAAAGAGGAATATGTTCTGCTCCCCAATTTCTCTGGTAATCTCGATCTATACAGGGGCAATCGTCAGTGCTAGCATCGCAGACGGGATATAGGGCTTCATACGTTAGCACCGTCGCAAGTTCCAATGATCAAGCCACCGTTCATGACGAATTTCATGTTACTAGTACCGCTGCCCTCCGTACCAGCGGTAGAGATATGCTCGCTGATATCAGACGCTGGACAGATAATTTCGGCCTTACTGACGTTGTAGTCCTCGACAAAGATCACCTTCAAAAGATCACCAACTTCAGGGTCATTGTTTACCACGGAGGCAACTTTGTTAATCAGGTGAATAACAGTCTTTGCCATCCAGTAGCCTGGGGCTGCTTTGCCTCCAAAGACAGACACGCGCGGCAGTGCCTTCTTTTTCTCTTCCGCAGACATTGACTTGATCCTCAAGTATCGGTGGATGACACCGAAGATGTTAAGCTGCTGCCGCTTGTACTCATGGATACGCTTGACTTGAATATCAAACAAAGCTTGTGGATTTACACTGTAACCGGTGGTCTCTTTAATGTGTTTAGCGAGACGAATCTTGTTCGCGGTCTTAATCTCGGCCCATTCACGTTGGAATGCCTTGTCATCGACGAAAGCCTCGAGCCGGTCTAGAAGGGTCAAATCAGTTAAGAATTGATATCCTCCGAGCCTGGAAGCGATTAGATCAGACAAACGTGGGTTTGCCTGGTGTAGCCAACGACGTGGAGTAACTCCATTGGTGACATTGGTGAACTTGTCCGGGCCGTATATTGTCACGAAATCTTTGAAAAGGGTGGTCCGCAATAGATCTGAGTGTAGTTCTGCGACCCCATTGACTTTATGGGAGCCAATAATCGCGATGTAAGCCATCCTCACCATCTTCGGGTGGGACTCTTCAATAATCGACACCCGGGACAGTAAGTCTCTATCTTGCGGAAAGTTCTTCTCGACATGCTGGAGGAAATATAAGTTGATGTCGAAAATGATCTGCATGTGCCGTGGTAGCAGGTTTTGCACCAATGGGACAGACCACTTCTCCAGGGCCTCTGGCAAAACCGTGTGATTCGTGTATCCGAAGGTCTTTGTCACGATGGCCCATGCCTCGTCCCACTCAAGACCTTCATTATCAATCAAGATGCGCTGAAGTTCGACTATAGCCAAGGTCGGATGAGTGTCATTCAATTGAATGGCAACCTGATCGGGGAACTCGCTCCAAGCTCGCTTGGTCTTCTTGAATCTCCGGACAATGTCGAACAGAGAGGCAGCACACCAGAAGTACTGTTGTTTAAGTCTTAGCTCCTTACCCCTGTCGAGGTTGTCGTTCGGATAGAGCACCGCAGAGATTGTCTCCGCACGTTGTTGCTCTGCGACAGCACTTTCGTAATCGCCAGCGTTGAATTTCTGGAAGTTGAATTCTCCGCTGGAAGCCTTGCAAGACCACAGCCGAAGATTGTTCGTGGTCTGTGTGCCATAACCCGGGACAGGAACATCGTATGCTACTGCTTGCACAGTTTCGCCATCTTGCCAGGAGTGGATGGTTTTACCATTCTCATCCTGGTATTTTCTCACCCAGCCATAAAACTGAATATCGACAGTGATTTCATGCCGAGGGAACTCCCATGGGTTGAAGTCAAGCCAGTAGTCGGGGACTTCCATCTGATACCCGTCTACAATTTCCTGCTTGAAAATACCATAACGGTAGCGTAGACCGTAGCCCCAGGCTGGATAGTTCAATGTCGCCAGGCTGTCGAGTAGGCACGCAGCCAAGCGTCCAAGACCTCCATTTCCCAGTGCAGCATCATGCTCCTGGCTAATGACATCTTCGACTCGGAAGCCAAGGTCCTTCAGACCCTCTTATCTCATAGGATTAGTAGGATGCATTGGGCATTTGTTCCAGGATTCCTACCTCTTGCAACGTCCTTCAAGCCGACATTGAGCATGGCATTATCCAGAGCTCGGCCCATAAGGAATTCGAGAGAGAGATCTGGCAAGGGTTGTTAGTGTTGTCACAGATAAGTGAATGATAGTCCAAGTAGTTCAAGGATCCGCTCACAATACACTCGCTTCTGGTCGGCAGAAGCTTGTCGCTGTTGCGTCTTATTCCATTCGATGATCAAGCGATCTCGAAAGGCCAGGGCGGTTCCAGAGTATGCGGCCCTAATACGTCAGCGGTTGGTTCCCTGATGCTGTCCAGCGAGTGTCAAAATACAATTCGTCACAGTTGTACAAGGAGCGAGCCAAAGTAGTTTCGATGTGCCGGACCAGCTCATCCTATTCACATCATTAGTGGAATGCTCGACGCTGTATGTACTATCCAACTTACTTCGAACTCTTCTTTGTTGGCAAATCCGTTGACGGACTATGACAAAAGCAGGCTTAGCAAAACGATCTCAGATCTCAAAGCGCGTCGTCAATTATCCTACGTGCTTGCGCCATCTAGGATACAATGCAGGTCAGCGATACTCCAATGACGGGTTTCATGTGAAACAAGCTTGCAACTATGGAGAGTGACGGCTATAATGACAAAGAGTTGGATCAGGATCAATACTCACGCCTCCCTAAGATGCTCCGGAATACTAGCTTCGACACTTTTGATCTCTGCAGGTCCGAAGCCAGTGAAGGTACGTCTGTGCTTGGGACGGCTAAAGCCGGGACCAATGGGTCCCTGAAGCTCAGACACTGGAGCTCCAACCGAAGGCTTTCTTTCACGACGAGGCTGTTCCGAGGACATTGTAGCTGAACAAGCGTTGAAGTGGCGGAAACACTAGCTAGTTCAAGAAGTCTATGGCGGATAGGTCAATAGACTAGCCCAGGATTTGAGTATAAGGCATTCAATAACAAAGAAGCCTGAGCTAAGGAAGCGCCTCGAATACTATAGTGGAATAAGGCGAAAGAATAAAAAAGGGGGGGGAGAAAGATTTGGGAGGGAGGAGGAGAAGACAAAGAAAGAAGAAGGAAGGAAGAGGGAGAGGGGGTGGGAGCGAGGTACTGTAAGTAGTACCACGGACTGACTATACTTCACAATAGTAAGAATAGAAAGTAGCAGACCTTCACTTCCCCCTCCCTCCCTTTCTCACCATCGACCGCGTGACAAGGGTGTCTAAATCGCAATGCTGGGATCAAAGCAGGGCATGCGAGACAACCGGGAGGGGTAATATCGAAGTCTGGGATGGCAGTTGACGATAGATGGAGGAGGATTGAACAGGAATCCGGAATGGATGATCATACGTTTGGCCCCCGGGTTCTCATGCAATGTCGTGCGAGGAAAAGTGTCTAGGCTTCCATGGAACTTTCAACTAGCTCAATTCGCAAATTGAGCAGCGTAACTGGGCAACGCCCCAAGCTGCCGTGTAGCTCCTTGAATGCTGGACGAGCATTGGATGATGAAGGAGGATGTGTGTGTGTGTTGACTGACGGATTGTCCGGAACTGGGCCTGAACTCAATAGAAGTCACAACGTTTCCTTGGATTGAGAGGGGTTTTAGGGGACAGAAACGAGACAAGACAACATGAATTAATTCATCACCGCTCCACCACCACCATCTCATCCGTCTGACAGTCGCCGTCTGGCCTGACCGGAGCTGCCGCTATGACGCATGGTGATCGAGGGGGGAAAGTAGTAGTAACTAAGTAGTGGAGTGGATAGAGGAAGGATTGACTCTGGACTTGGGGGACGGTGTATTGATACCGTATAATAAGTAGTAGTCCTGTCTTGTCTTGTCTCTGAATACTTACTCCTTTCAACTACTTCCATTAATACCAACCAGTTGCTACTTACTTTCTTGATCGCCAGAACTACTAACTGCTACAGGTCTGGTCTCTACGACATCAACCACATGTATTGATGCATGCAATACAATGTACTATTTCTGTTCTTCTCTTTACTTTTCCGTCTCTTGATTGCATCTTCCTTTTCTACAGCTCTTTGAAATAAATCTACTACTAACCACCCGCCCGCAGCTCAGTCCTCCGGGTCCAGTCCATCTCCGGCCTCATCGCCCCCCCCACCCCCGCACTGCAACCTTCCTGTCCGATCGGCGGGTCATCAACGTTCTCCCCCGTCCATCATTTCATTCGAGCGCTAGGATCGACGGTCTGAGCTCGAGGAGCTCCGCGCGAGCCATGGGCGTTTCCCATGACCTTTGCACGGTGCAAGCCCTCTCCAATGTCTTGACCGGTTCCCGTGAACTGGCGGAAGAAACCAACATGAAGCGACGCTCGGAGCTTCCCATACCTACATGCCCAGTCGACCTCGCTGCGAATTGCCTGGTCACACTCTCAACCACCAGCTGAGACGGCGATGATGTCTGGAGGCACTGCCACAGCTGGCCTTGGCCTAGATATGCTCGCCTTTTGGGCGGGCAAGAGAACGTCGAAAGAAGTAACATCGACTTCAAGACAGTAAGCAGCACGCGTTACAGCATCATTTGATGGGAGCCGCTCCGCTTGCAATGGACAGCATCACTGCATAAGAGGCACGGTGACATTTCATGGGTAAGAGATCAATTGCATGCATAGGATCGCTACAACAAGCTGCGTGGTATAGACGGGACGATAGAAAATCAACAGCAACGAGTAAAACAGAATGCTGGGTAATAGCATAGAAAATTAGAGAAGTATGTAAAGAGAGATCGCCATTAGATGCAGAGCCAAGTCATGGGAAAAGAAAAGAAAAGGGTTATAGGAAATTCCGGGGGCATGAAACAGGATATCAAAAGGCTTTGCGCAGTCCACGTGCAAAGAATGTAATGCCAAGGCCTGTAGCTCGCTCTTCCTGTTATTGAAGACATTGAGCGCTTTGATTGAAGATCAGCCCCAGGAGTTGGACGTGGTCTGTTCTGGCCGATGCAGATAGAAAAGCCCCAAGAAACATATCATCCTGAAATGATCACAAATGAGAAGGAAAAATTGACACCATGCCACAAATTCCAATGACCATGAACCAACCCAGCGCCAGGAACATTGAACTGTGAGGTCAACTTAGCACCGTAACGCCGATGCCTACCGACTGCACACAATATAATGAACAAACGAACAAAGTAAATCGAAAGATAACGAACGCCAAAGCTGCAAACAGGGTGCAAACCAGAAGCATCAAAGCTTCAGAGAGAAATGAGGTTCATCAGTAAAACCGGGCCGGAAGACTGACTAGTGAGAGGGCAGATAGGACGGCCTCTACTCAACGTAGGCAATCGCCAAAGTGGAGAATCTCGGTAACATAAACCGGGTCTAGTTGCTCTTCTAACGATAGCTGCCTCACAGAATACCCGAATCCTTAAGGGCATTTTGCAGGATTGTTTCCTTTACAGCGGCGAATACCAGACGGATATTCGTCGTGTCGGTGGCCTGAGTCAGACTTGAGGGCGAATTAGTGAGTACACAGCACGAACGACTTTGATCAGAACTTACTGAGGGTAGAGATTCAGATGCGCTCTGTTGACTTGATTGAATCTCCAAAGAAGGTATTTGGCCGCCCGATTCACGTCATTGCCGCCTGAATAGTCCGGAAAGTAATGGTTCAATGGAGACCGAGGAAGCTTTTGTTTGAAAAGATCGACCTTGTTTAGGAAAAGAATTATGCTCGTTCGCATGAACCATCGAGAATTGACCACAGAATCGAACAGGACTAAGCTTTCCATCATGCGATTCTGAAAACCAGATCAGCAGGGGCGCATGGGCAGGGTGATGAAGCGCTCCGAGACATACCTGGTTGCTCTCCTCCAGTAATACTTGGTCATACTCACTCAACGCTACGCAGAAGATGATGGATGTTACGTTTTCAAAGCAATGAATCCACTTCTTCCGCTCGCTCCGCTGGCCGCCAACATCGAACATACTATGTGACAAGTCAGTAAGTTGTCGATAAAACAACCTTCAAGGAGAGGACAGGTCATACTGTATGCTAAGCTGGCCCATGGTAAATCGCGTCTCATATATACCTGTCGTTTTTGTTCGCGCGCGGAGTACATCATTTACGTTGGGTATGTAATCTGGGGAAGCTATCCGCTTAGCTTCATCAAAGAAACTAGAAGGACTCGGTCAGCGGCTGTGCTTGTGGTATAACTTGATTGACGCAAGCACTTACTATGGCGCAGAATCCATCAGATAGAATTCGTTCTGATGCTCCAGCACATTGGAAGTACAAGGGTCATTCCAGAGATACGTGATCGCATCACCAACCCGAGAATCCAGGGGTATATTTGGATCAGGGTCAATGTTATAATCGGAAAGGAATTGGATGTAGTCGCGGACTTTTTGACTTGAAGGTTCTAGCGAGAACTGGTGGTAGGCTGCTATGAGAGATTTGGTACAATCGAGGAGGTTCTTGTAGACCGTTAGGCGGTATAAGGCCAGCTCTTCAACTGTGTACCCATTTTGGTGGATGATCTTCATTTGCTTGACGATGGTCGACTTGCCGCTTTCTCCGGAACCTACCATCACACACGAGATTACAGTTAGCAAGAGTTGCGCTTGAAACAGCATCGGCCTCCGTATAGCGGGATGAGGAGAATGCAACTAACCAAGCAATAGGATCTTGCACTCTCGCCGTAGTCGCCTAGAGTCCTCTTCTAGTTTTCGGTCGATTGCTTGGCTCCTCCGCTTCGACTCCGCATCTCCTGTCGCCTCCGTACTCACACACGAACCCATGTTCTCAGTATGATTCCCAGACAGCGAAAAGCTAACCCATTAGCTGCCTGCGGAAGGATCCGGCATCAACCTGTCAGGACGCTAAGACCCGACGCCGACGGGAGAGGCGAATACCCAGACGAGTGGCAGCTCCAACGACCCAAACAGACAGATGTGATTGCGGACGGAAGGTTATGAGCGGCGCAATGGGGAGGATATCGCTGCAGCGATCGGAACGGGGAGAGCAAGAGAGACGGTGGTATATGCGATCGACAATGGAGTTCGATCAGGGATCGAGGCTTGCGCGCGTAGTGGCCGAAGGCAGAGCCACAACAGACGGCTCGAGGTCGAAACGGGGAAGGCCGGAGCGACGACAACTGCAAGCTCCCGGGGGGGGCGGAGGTGTTGGCTCGTGACGCAGGAGGTGGAAAGGAAGCAGGGGAGACAGCGAAGCAACGAAAAGACGCCGAGCCCAAGCGCGGAGTAGGATGGTTCTGCTGGAGGTTTGATCGAGAGTGTGAGGGGTGTCAAGAGAACCAACTGCGGAGCAGGAAAGCGAGCGAGAATGACGACCTGACGCTAAAAAGGGTAGTTAAAGTCGATCGGGGGGGGGGATGATGTGGGAGAGTGGATGAGAGCGCGGATCTCGAGTGTGAGATAATGTAAGCAATGGGGATCAGTCGTCGGTCGGGTCGATCAATCAGGCGGGTAATAGTAGTTAAAGAGAGGAAGGAGATGGGATGGGATGGGATGGAATGGGATGGAGGATTGGGGGGG